CCTCGCCCTGGAGCGGAGGAAGATACACGAGGCAAGGACGAGCAGCCAAGACAAGACCGAGGCAAAGAGAGCGGCGCAGGAGATCACAATGCGACGCTGGCAGCAGAGATGGCAGGAGGAGACCCGGGGGCGCTGGACGGCGAGACTGATTCCCTGCCTTGCCCCCTGGATCAGACGATCACACGGCGAGGTCGATTATTACCTGACCCAGCTCCTGAGCGGACACGGCTACTTCAGGTCGTACCTGTTCGGGGTTGGGAGGGCGACCTCGCCGCTATGTGGTTATGGCTGCCGCGACGAGAGGGACAATGCCGAGCACACCCTCTTCGCCTGTGAGCGCTGGGCAAGCACACGCGATGCCCTCATACGGGAGGTGGGACCGTTCACCCCACACAACATCGTGGAGCTGATGCTGAGGTCAATAGAGGACTGGAGGGCCATAGCCGGGTACACCCGGCAACTGCTCCTGATCAAGAAAAAAGAAGAAAACCGGTGGAACCCCTCTGCAACGCAGGAAATTCTGCCGTCAAGCAGCAGTAGCACCTCGCGCGGCCTCAACTCGACGCGGGAATAAGGAGGAAACACAGCGCCACGGATGGCGCGTATTGGCGGCTTCCCCTCCGAAGTAATGTGATAAACGGTTCCGGAGGGGAGTTTCAGTCGCGAGAGAAAAAAGGGAAGCGGTTTTTTAGTGGGTAAGAATCCCACGTAACTCGGAGAATGTGACCTGTCCCGAGTATCTTGTTGAAGATTTTTCCACTTCCCCCCCCAAAATTATCATTATTATCATTATTATCATTATTATCAATATTATCATTGTTATCATTATTATCATTGTTCCTGGTTGGCTACGCGGACGACATCGCGGCAGTCGTGGTTGCCCGGGACACGGAGTACGCGCAATTCGGCATGAACCAGGTCACGAGGCGGGTCGAGAGGTGAATGGGCGAAGGTGGNAGAATGTGACCTGTCCCGAGTATCTTGTTGAAGATTTTTCCACTTCCCCCCCCAAAATTATCATTATTATCATTATTATCATTATTATCAATATTATCATTGTTATCATTATTATCATTGTTCCTGGTTGGCTACGCGGACGACATCGCGGCAGTCGTGGTTGCCCGGGACACGGAGTACGCGCAATTCGGCATGAACCAGGTCACGAGGCGGGTCGAGAGGTGAATGGGCGAAGGTGGTCTTCGACTTGCAACCGAGAAGACTGAGCTTGTCGTCCTGTCCAGGCTTAGAATCCACACCGAGATCATTCAAGGTGGGGACCCATAACATCCTAGCCGAGGCCGCCATTAGGTACCTTGGGGTCTAGCTCGACTCCAAGCGGACCTTTTGGTCTCACATACGACTGACGGCCGCCAGGGCGGCGGCGGTAGCGTCGTCCCTCGCCCGTCTCATGGCGAATACTGGTGGCCCCAAAGCGACGAAGCGGAAGTTGCTGATGTCCGCCGCCCAGACAGTAATGCTTTAAGAGGCGGAGGTATGGGCATCGGCCTTCCGTTTTGAAAAGTACCTCAGGAGGATGGCTGCGGTGCAGAGGAGATGCGCGCTCCTGGTGGCGAGCGCATACCGGACTGTCGCTGAATCGGCTGTGCTTGTTGTGGCGGGAACGATGCCCATAGACCTCCTCGCCCTGGAGTGAAAGAAGGTCTATGAGACGAGGATGAGCGGCCAAGATAAGGCCGAGGCGAAGGAGACGGCGCACGTCCTTGCGACGCTGGCAGCGAAGATGGCAGGAGGAGACTCGGGGACGCTGGACGGTAAAGCTGATACCTTGCCTTGCCCCCTGGGTCCGACGATCGCACGGCGAGGTGGACTATTACCTGACCCAACTCCTGAGCGGCCACGACTATTTCAGGTCCTACCTGTTCAGGGTTGGGAAGGCGACCTCGCCACTATGTGGCTATGGCTGCTGAGACAAGAGGGACAGCGCCGACACATCCTCTTCGCTTGCGAGCGCTGGGCAAGCGCAATGCCCTCAGGCAGGATGTGGGCCCGTTCACCCCAGATAACATCGTGGAGATAATGCTGTGGTCCATGGATGACTGGAGGGCCGTAGCCGGGTACACCCGACAACTGCTCCTGAAGAAAAAGGAAGAGGATAGCCGCTGGATCCCCTCTACAGGAACTTAGGGAGTTCTGGCGGCAGGCTGCAGCAGTGCCTCGCGGACCACATTTTGTCGCAAGGGCAAAAGAGAGCACCGCGCATGAATGGCGCGTAGTGGCGACTTTCCCCGAAATGTAATGTGATAAACGGTTCGGGGGGGGGGGGGGG